AAGCCCTGGTTCGGCTGGGTGCTGCTTGCCAGAACTTCCTAGCTGATTCATATTGCTTTGCCTTTGTTATGATTTCCTATTAAACGTCTGCCACATACAAGGGTCTCTATTGCGTAGACTGTGGCTGGAAAGAAGGAGAGTTGTCCATCAGGAGCACATAGTACAGTTGGGAAGAAATCAGACACCCAGGAACTTGAGGAGAGGGGAAACACGGTATTTTGTCTGGCTGTTCAAAATCGAACCTCCTTCCCTGTCTGGGGAACCCTCTACCTCAGGCCATCAGGCCTCGTCCAGACTGTGGCGAGAGCGAGAGCGAGGGCGAGGGCGAGGGCGAGGGCGAGGGCAAGGGCGAGGGCGTCCAACGGAGCTCTGGCAGTCAGTGCCGCCGCCCGGCGTGGAGTTAGAAGTAATGGCAGTAAGAAGCTGGAATCATGCTGTATTCACTCTGGCAAGGCAACAGCAGCTACATCCAGGGTCGGGCAGCGGTGGCAAGAGACGTCCCTTTGTGGGGACACAGCATGCTGCTGGGCGCTGAGACTGTGCAGTTGGCAAGCCAGGTTCTTAAGTCCTGCTAGAGATTCTGAGAACTCGATATCATTTAATAAATTCCTTTTCCGCTTAAATTAGAGACTGGCTTCGGTGCCTGCAACTACAAACCCTGACTAATACGACACGTAAAAAAAAATGGAGCAGGAAGTGTCAAATGCGTCAGAAAAATATATAAAGAATTCTAAATGAAGTGGCCAAAGAAATTTTACGAAAGAGATGTGGTATGAGCTTGGAAAACACAGTTAAGCAGAGAGGGGGAGGAGGCCAGTTCAGGCAGAAACGTCAGTTTACAAGAGCAATGATGCAGGAAAAGACAAATCCGACCTGGGAGGCAGTGAGCGGACAGCAAGGCGGTGAAAGACAGGGTCGGGGTCAGAGTCCGGATGACACAATGAGAGCGGGGTTTGGGGGCAACAGTCCAGTGGGCGGGGGATTATCTGGGGGACTGACGCACACTGACCGCTTCCAGTGTGCCAGGCATAAGGAGATAAGGATATAATCCAGGCTGGGGGCGGCAGACATGGGCTGGGGGCGGGGGGGAGGAGACAGATATAAGAAATATTTCAAAGTAAATAGTCTATACAGAACCACCATCTAAAATGATTACACGGGGGAGGAAACAGATTTCTGAAGGAAGATGATGGGTTTCGTTCGGAACGCTTTAAGTGCAAAGAGTGGGAGGACATCCAAGAGCAAACATACTGAAAGGTACGGGAGTCCAGACTGCGCATTAAGTGAACGGCCGGAAATCCTATTTAAAAGTCAGAGCAGAGATGATTATTAAAGATATCAAAGGAGATAAATGCAGAGAGAGGAAAAGTTAGGGGCAAAGCCTCAGTGGTTTTTAAAATTAGGGATGTGTAGAAGAGTAAACAAAGCAGACCTGACCGCTGTCTTTGAAAGGCCTCCCTACGAGGTTCGCCCCCGGCTGGTGTCTACGAACTTGGATTTTGGGAGAACACCCCCCTACCCTAACCGACAAGGATACCTATAAACTGTCTGTGCAAACAACAAGATTTATGCTAACACCTGCTTCCTTTTGGGAGTCTGGAACTTTCATGCATGCTAGACAGAAGCTATCCACACGACCAGCCTCCAGTAAAAGGCCTGAGCAATGAGTCTTCAAAATGAGCGAGCTTCCCTGGCAGCTACCATTTCACAAGTGTGCTGGGGTTTAGGCACACCTGTGTGACTCCACTAGCAAAGCCCTGCCACGTTGTACCTGGTTCCCCTGGACGTCACCCTACGTGCCTCTTCCCTCTGTGACTTTGCTCTGTATCCTTTCAGTGTAATAAATCACAGCCACGAGCATGACTACATGCCGGTGAATCATAAAAACGGGGTGTGCTGGAGACCTTGATACCGGGGTCAGAAGACAGAGAAGAGCGAAGGGTCAGCCAGGGCAGCGTAGGCACATCAAGGAAGTCAATTTCAGTAAGGGAGGACTGGCAATATCTTTAACACAGAAAAATGAGGAACGTTCCAAATGAAGAGATAATGAAATAAATGGATATCGCATCTTTGATCCAGTAACCCCGCTTTGTAAAAAGTACAAGATTTATCTTATAAAATACTGGACACGTGCACGAAGAGTCACAAACAGGGATGTGCACCACAGCTCGGGTAAAACCACGAAAGGGGACAGTCCTTTAACGGGGGATGGCGAAGTAAGTTATGCCCCCACACAACGGACTAATTAGTAGCCATTAAACTAAGTGAGGAAGTTCTACATGTGCTGATAGCTCCAAAATGTGTCAAAGAGGAAAAAGCCAGGTGTAGGGCAGATTCTACACTATGACACATGCACGTAATGAAACGGGGTATGTAAAAGGTGAGACGTAACACACACTCTCTTGGACATTCACGTATATTCTCAGGAAGGACATAAAAAAACTGGTAGAAAATGAATGCCATTAGGGAGGGGAAGAGCACCAGGGTAGGAGAAAAATTTATGTTTTAATGAAACCCTTAAATACTGTTTGAATCTTTAAAAGTGATTTACATAAATTATCTTTATATTTTAGAAAACAGTAATAAAAAAGGAAACACCACTGAGTTTGACATAAGTGAATTTAAAATTCTGAAGAGAGATTATCTTCGGGCGAGCGAGGGCTTGGCCGCCTGGGAGGAGGCGCAAAGGGCAGAGAAACGCTGACGGAAGTGGAAAATCACAAAAGCAGGAAGGAAGTTGCAAGTTCAGGCCTGAACTCACAGTCCTGAGGGGCTGGCAGGGCAGCTCAGGGCTGGAGGCGGGAAGGCCAGAACTGTACGCAGATAGCAGACACTCGAAAGTCTAAAGCGGATCAGTAAGGACGTGATCGAAAGAGATAAAAATAAAAAAGCAATTAATTAAAGGTATAAAATCAGAGGGCAGAGCTGTGGAGAGAAAACCAAGACGACAGACATCGACTTACGCTCAGCAAGATGGCTGAAGGACAACAAGGGAAGAAGGCTGGAAGGGGCCTCGGAGGTTAGAAAGGAAGATCTTATCGTTTTGTGTTTTCAGATTAAATTGCAAGGCTGACAGGGAGGTACTTAGAATACTAAAGAGAAAGGAAACGAGGCTCCTAATGAAATTGGCACAGAGCTTTTTGGCACCAGATGGGATTAATGCTAACAAGAGGTTTATGAACTAGGAGTAACAACCAATCTGTTCAAGTTCTAAACAACTTAACCAGCTAACACTTAATCACATCTTAAGAACCCTATGAACAACAGCAATAATAAATATTTAGGTAGATACTGAGTTGCCAAACCATATACTTCACTGAGGGCATTTCTGGTATGAAGTGAAGATAACTATCTTCCAAATTATTCACTGAATTTAAATGAAAAGAAAAGTGAGCCCGGTTATTGAAAACCTTGGAATTCCATCAATTGAACTAGTCAGTGAAACATATTAAATATGAAAAAAGAAACAGGCCAGATATACAATTACTTTATCTTTTCCAAGAAGAGCTAATATAGACAGAATCTGTCGATCACCGATGTAACAAAACTTTAAAAACACTAATAAAAATAAAAAGGTGGCATTTCTGTCTTCACAATGCTTAATAAACAGAAACTCAATAAACAATTCCCCATTGTTTAAACTGATCACTAACAAAATGACCATAATGCAAGAAAATAGATTTTTAAGGCTAGCCTGCACAATATCCTAATTAACTTAAAATATCTAAGTTATTTGTAGCATTACTGCTCCAAGCCCCTTTCAATCAGAAATGGACATCGACTGATTTTTGTTTCAACTCTACAGTTTAGGGTGCTAACCCCAGAAGTTACAGGAATCAGCACTACGCTGGTGTCAAGATATGCAGGGATCTTGACCTAGAAAAATTATTTTCTAAGTAACTTCAAATAAGGCATCTTGCCCATGAAAGGGGTCAACTGGACAGTGTGGCACAAACGCCCGGTCCCCCTCCCGGCTTGAGCCGCGCGACTACAGTCGCCCTCGGCAGGCAGCCTAGATAGATTTTTTTAATCTCTGCAGAAAGTCAGGCTACAACCTTGAGATGTTTTTAACTCTAAGAGGCACAAAATTATTTTAAATGTCTCTGACTTCAAATTCAGTAAGTCTTCCTTTTTAAACCTGTTGCTACTGAAGGCTATTTCCTCTGAAACTGAGTTAGCGCGACATGGTGGTCATACCTCATTCTTGCGCAACAACGTTAAAACTTAGGGAAAAAGGAGTTACGGCTACAAATAAGTAACGAAAACAATGAACCCACTTATGCCAATGAGGCTGGTCCGCAGCCTTGCTTCGAGGACGCTCACCTCCCTGTTGCCCAGGAGTCTCCAAAGGTGTTTACCAAAAAAGCAGCGACTCTACCTCAGGCCTAAACTCAGGATTCAGCTCCAGGTAGGCGGAAAGTACATTGCCATAAAACAGACACAACTTCGTTACTTCCCAGGACATACACCGAAATTTCCAGTAATTACAGTCATTCAGGGGCTCCTGAGGCTGGAACGAGACCCTTCATTTTTCTCATTCTCCGTCTCATTAATTTTTGATGTTTCCTGCTCTGGCACTGAGCGGTATTTGAAGGGCAAAGGGAAAAACTGACACATGAACAGGTCTAATCAAAAAAGAAAATTAAAAACTCGTAGAGTAAGAAATACATTTGCCTTTTAAAATTCTGTCTTACGATTATCTGCACCTACCTACCACCACCAAAGCTGGCGGTCGCTCCATTGTCCTCATGTTCTCCATTCTCAACACTTCTCATTCCTTTGTACTGTGACTGTGACCTGGTCTCCCACTAGACTGAGCTCCAAGGGCTGGATCTGTTTTTTAGGCAGCACCCACCACAACCCCTATTACACACTGGGTGCTTTACATATGTTTACTGAATTTCCTTCTTACACCCCCACCCCAACAATAAATCACTATCCAAATGGATTTGCTCTCAGTCCTGCCACAGGTAAAAAGTGATCTCACAGGAGTCAGTTACCGGGTTATAGGTGACATTCTGTAGGTTGTTTAAGGACATCATCTTTCTTTTCGACGTTGATCGAGGTCTCTCTTCTGTGTACGATCTAAGATTTTAAGCAAGTTTCATTTAAAGGCTTCCCAGATTGAAACTGTGGCACTTGCCCTGTGTAAAATCAAAACAGAGGGAAAGAAAATGCATCATTTTTCTTCACAATTATTTTAAATTTTAAATTATAAACTATTTTACTGATATTTACCAAATAACAGATGCTATTACATTCCAAGATCTGACCCCAATTCTTACCTCGTGTACTTAATACTAAGTAATTTGGGATCAGTGCAGGAAATATTGATTTAAAAATTACATCAGTAGAAAATTTCTAACATGGAACTTATTATTAAAAACATTAAGATATTAGCAAATACTCTTGTACAATTATCAGAAAGTCATTTAACTTATCTGTAAATTGAGACTAACAGTATTCACGTTTGTTCTGAGGATCAAGTGAATTAATAAAATAACAGAATAAGTGCTTTATAGGTTTTAGCTATTAATAGAAGAGACTGCTCTTCCTCTTCCAAATGAAACAAGTCAAAGAAAAAAAATCTTTTAAATATTAATGAGAGTATTCCCTGTGGCTAAAAAAAAGGGGGGTGGTGACATCAGCCACAGTTTTAAAAACAAACTTCTAGTTACAAAATAAATAAGTCACGGGGATGTAACGTAGAGCATAGGAAATACAGTCCATTATATCGTAATAACTTTGTTCGGCGAGATGGTGACGACCTAGGGCAGCGATCCCTTCGTAAGGTATATAGGTGTGGAGTCCGTGTTGCACACCTGAAACTAACATGAGGTTATAAAAGACTGATTTCACCCCTTTGACTTCCCTCTCCCCTTGCCATGAATAATGTATATGAAATTACTTTTAATTATGTGATGAATATATTTATAACCACTTAGTATGACTCTCTGCCCACAAATCAGGTGTGGAAGAAATATATATATATATTCTTTTTTTTTTAAGTGCCCATCGATACATTTAATAGCTCCAGGGAAGGCTTGACGGCTTAACCAAGAGAAACGAAACTCATCGCGCTTCACTTCCGCCCGCCGTCGGGACTCCGCACAGCGGCACTCGGGGACCACAGCCATCACTTTGTCTCTAGTAAGAACCGCATCCCTCTCCGCTTAGCACCTAATGCGACCCCGACCCGGGTCATAAACTTACACGTTAGCAGGACGACGGAGGAACGAACCAGGCCCACGGCAAGGCCGCAGAGAAGCCGGAGCCAAGCTCAGTTCACACCGTCCCCAGGGGGGTTTGAGCCCCCGGCCTCCGGAGCCCACGGTTCCCCGTGTCCACGGGACAGGCCGCGCCGTCACCAACACCGCCCGCCTCGCCGACCGTCCGTGCAATTCGGATAACCCGCGTCGCCCGACGTCTAACGGGCAGTGCAGTGACCGGCCTCTCACACGGCGCGTTCAGAGCAGCCGGGAGAGCCACGGGGTCTGTCGCTAACGTAAGATCCTGTCACTTAAACGGCCCGGGCGGGCAGCTTCCCCAGATCGCAGGCCTCGGCTGGGGGCAGCAGGAGAGGCGGCGGCCGGGCGGGCGGCTTTGCGGCGGGACTCC